TTTTTATTCATTTACATCAGTTTTTCATTGGTTGACATTCATTTCTTGCCGGCTTCCGTTTTTTATACAATCCAAAATTGCAAACTTGTTCCATTTTAAAAAATGGACCTGAACAAAAGCCGATGAAAAACTGATGTAAACAGACAATGTCCATTTACATCCATTTTCTCATGCGAATGCATTCTTGTCAGGTTTTCATCTGTCAACAGATAAATGAAAAATCACCAGACAGAATGCCCATGTATAATGTATGGATGAAAACATTTGAAAAGTAGATTTTGGATCCATGCAATTACTTTCCAGAAATTTGCTTTTGTTTTTATAGACAGTGGGGACATGAAGTGAAGAATTCATAGAAACCCTTTAAAATTCCACTGGGCTACTATACCAAAATTGTTGATGCTTGGGCCAATTCACGTACTGTCACAGACTGGACATTCCTTCCATAGTGCACTCCCTCCTGGGCTACTGAGCCCATCACCCTGACAGATGCATGGCCGAGGATTTCTGTAGTAGGGGAAGAAAAATCTGATGGGGAAATGGGAGACTAGTCCCTCGCCAGATCTGCCTTGCTGCTTATTGACAGTGCATGGCAGTGGGGGGATCTATAGCCACTAGTCAGTCCAATATCTGCATTTGAATCCACCCACTGCCATGGGCTCTCTATCAAAGGTAAGCCAGACCTGATGGGGAACTACACTTTCAGTTGCCCATCAGCAACTGCCCACATAATTACACAAGTAATTTCCCAAATATCGGTATTACCATATGTGGTTAAAAACATCAACAGTCTCCCTGACCTCCTTGTATACATTTTGCTTTTGGCTGGGGAATCTCCTGGCTAAGAGCTGAATGGGGCTTTGTGTGGGAAGCTATAACATTAGACATGTCCCACTTTCAGCACTCCAAACCTCAACCTCACCAGCTCAAAACTGTTCTTAATTACTGTTGGTTTCTTAACCTGTAAGCTGGCAGCAATACTCCAGTAATAATTAATCTGTTGCTGCCATAGAGACAGGATCTTAAAGTGTTAGCAGTTAGAACTACCTGAATGTGTCAAAAATGTTATCAAAACTGGCACAAATACTTGCCTGACGTAGATGCAGGTAATTCTAAAAGGAACTACCAGAAAAGGGATTTAAGAGCGTTACTGAATTCCCCTGATTGTGTTTGCCAAAGTACATTAATGCAGGAAGTGTTCCTCCTCTCTCTTACTTTATATTCTATGAGTAAAAAGGTTACAAAAAATTGTCTTATGTATGTATTTGCATTAAAAATTCTTTCATTGCAGAGATATTATATTCATATAGTGCCACGCTTTTTAAAAAAATATATGTTTTTACAATCATGTCTTTGTAAGTGCTAAAAGCAGACCTTGAAGTTCTTTAAGCAATCCCACTCCACCTTTAGAAAAGCAGCATAAAAATGATTTAAAAAACTGGGGTGAGAATGCAAACTCGCCTTTTCCCCAGCTTCTGCCCTCAGCACCTAGGTGAGGGTGATGTCATCCTTCTTCCAGCGATTTCTATAGATGGAAGTAGAGTGCTTGAAATATTCCCAGTACATTCATCAGGATCCCATTGGCAGGAGAACCACGTTAACTGGAGGAGCTGCCCCATGGAACCTGTAGGAGAAGTAAGTATATAATCCTCCCCCCCAGGTTTTATTTTGTAAAATGTATGCTGTGTTTTAGTGGGATTGAGGACATTTAAATATAGACATTGCACCATATAAAGGGCCATTGCTGACTAGCTATCAATGAGACCCACTGGCTTCAATACTTTCAGAGCCACCGACCAGAACAAGTATACACAGGGCCGTGGATAAAGGGGTACCACAAGTCTTCCTGTACGGGGCCCAGGCTAGCAGGGGGGCCCAGGCAGCTGGGTGAATTGGATGTGGGCAGGAAGAGTGACCGGCACAGCAGGGGTGGGGCAAGTGCTGGAACCAATCCCCTGTATGGCTCTCTCTGCAGCAGCTGAAAGCTGGCCTCTTCTCCTCTCCCACCCACTGGCTTTCAGCTGCTGTAGAGAGAGCCATACAGGGAAACAGTTACAGTAATTGCCCAACCCTGGTGCACCCATCACCCTGCCTGTACACCATACATTTCTATCTGCTGCCGCCACCCTCACAATGTTTCCGACTTTCCTCCTCTCCTTCCCACCTGCAGCTGCAAGCACACAACAGGATTCTTCAGGATGGAGAGTGGGGGAAGGGTCTGGTAAATATGTCACATTTACCAGCCCCTTTCTTTCCTGAATAAACACAATGAGTGATCGGTAACAATCACTCATTGTGTTCATTCATAATTGAAGCTTTGTAAACTGTTTTTTTTTTTTTTTGGGGGGATGGGGGGGGGGGGGGCTTGTCAGGTTGGCTGTATGGGGCCCCGTGCTTTCTAACAGCAGCCCTGAGTATACATATCAGAACTCACAGACAGATCAAAAGTCCTTATCTGCATACATGTTCTAGATCAGTGACTCAGTGCACTGATGCGCGAGGATAAGCATACCAGTCAGGCAATTTAGGCATTTTTGGAAGTTGCAGGATCCACAATTCTCTCATAGCAGTTTTCCTTGTATGTACAACTGCAAGTAATCCTACAAATCCATCATTTTAGATTGAAAATAATGACCCTAAGCAGTGCAGGTCTTGGGAACAGGAAAAGGATAAAAAAAATAGTTTAGGCAGCAACTTGAGGTTCTTGAAAGGAGATGAGAACAAACAGTATCTAAACACCTAAAGGTGGTATGGTAGGAGATTTATTTACATAGAACTGTGCCTAGGTTTCAACTTATTCTTGATTTCTAAAACATGTACCTGCTCCTTTTAATGATGGAATTTTTTTTTTAAAGTGTATAACATAATTAGTTATGTGATTTATATAGTGTGTTATAATACTTATGTGAAAACAATTTGGGGGAATTAACTAATTGTCTTGAGCCATTATAGAGGCACAGGAAACTGTCTAGAGTGACATGCACCACATTAACTAAGCAGATAGACCTGTTCAGGTCTATCTGCACCGCAGATACAGTATGTATGCATGTTTTTTCTCCATCATGACCCTGTTTTTGCATTATTGCTTCTAACTTTGCACCTGTTTACTAACCTGCAATTTATTGTTACTCTGTCTAATAATTTTGCAGATTATCTATCATGCTAAATATGTTTGTGCATACTCATGTAAAAAGTTAACATGATCATCTGGACAGCAGCATATAATTCCAGTTATATGGAAATGTTAGCATACAGCTGAAATATAGCTGTATGAGTATGGCAACCATAGGGTTGAATCTTTATTCATAACCATATACACTATATTGCCAAACGTATTGGTACACCCCTCCAAATCATTGGATTCAGGTATTCCAATCACCTCCATGGTAGTAAACATTTTTGAAAGAATGGTTTGCTCTCAGGAGCTCAGTAACAGGTTGCCACCTGTGCAATAAGTCCATCCGTGAAATTTCTTGCTAGTAAATATTCCACGGGCAACTGTTAGTGGTATTATAACAGAGTGGAAGCAACTGCGAGCAACAGCAACTCAGCCACGAAGTGGTAGACCACGTAAAATGACAGAACAGGGTCAGTGCATGCTAAAGTGCGTAGAAGTTGCTAACTGTCTGTAGAGTGCTTCATGGAATGGGTTTCCATGACCAAGCAACTGTATCCAAGCCTTACATCACCAAGTGGAATGCAAATTGTCATGTGCAGTGGTGTAAAGCATGCTGCCACTGGGCCCTAGAGCAGTGGAGATGTGTTTTCCGAAGTGACAAATCACGTGTCTGGGTTTGGTGGTTGCCAGGAGAACAATACTTGCCTGACTGCATTGTGTCAAGTGTAAAGTTTGGTGAAGCGGGGATTATGGTGTGGGGTTGTTTTTAGGGGTGGGCTTGGCCCCCTTAGTTCCAGTGAAGGAAACTCTTAAGGCATCAGCATACCAAGACATTTTGGGCATAAAGACATGGATAAGCGAGTTTGGGATGGAGGAACTTTACTGGCCTGCACAGTAAAGTCCTGACCTGAACCTGATAGAACACCTTTGGGATGAATTATAGTGCTGACTTTGAGTCAGTCCATCTCATCCAACATCAGTGTCTGACCTCACAAATGCGCTTCTGGAAGAATGGTCAAACATTCCCATAGAAACACTTCTAAACCTTGTGGACCGCCTTCCCAGAAGAGTTGAAGCTGTTATAGCTGCAAACAGTGGGCCAACTCAATACTGAACTCTATGGATAAAGATTGGGATGTCATTAAAATTCATGTGCATGTAAAGGCAGGCGTCTCAATACTTTTGGCAATATAGTCTAGCTGTGTATGACATAACGCCATCCTCTTGTAACCTTCTATATGGATTTGTGGTATTGCATGGCTTGTGCTCCATATTTCTGAGAACTATACATTATTATTTACTTTTATTATGGCCCGTACTATATGTGTTGGATTAACACTACCGTGTTATGAAAACAATAGACACATACTCCTTGCAAAAACTATTTTATTTTAAGGTATTGATATGAAAAAAGAGCATGCTCCCTTGTAGCCATGGACATTGCTAGTTTCATGCCTGGTGATTTGGGTCTAGAATCATCCCTATCAGAGCAAGTCACTTGGACTTGCAATGTTGTGTACTTGCAGCACAGTGAGGAGGGATATTCAGCCTTATACTGCCTGTATACTTCTTGCCTGATTCATTCAGCAGGAGATTCAGGAGCTTTGAAAAAGTGCTGTAGCACCTCTACAGGTAAGTGAATTGTTAAGCTCCTACTTAGACCAGAAAAATGAGAGACCACCGTGTTATGGGGGGCATTTTTTATTACCTACCATGTCAGCAGGAACAATGTCTACTGATGACCATGAAGGGGACAATGCCTAATGACTAAAATGTAGGGTGGATAATGCCCAGTACTCACTATGTAATAGGGACATTGCCTACATACCACCATGTAAAGGGTGTAAGGCCTAATGACCACCATTTAAAGGGGGGAAAACACTGACCATTATGTAAGGTAGATAATCAGTATATAGATATATAGATGGTCAGATTGGTTAACATACAGTACATTGGTGGTCAGTGTTGCATTTATGATTGTGGTACACTGACCACCAATGTAAGAGGATCACACATTACATTGGTGGTCCATCTGTATATCATATATTAGTGGTAAGCAGGGGCGGACTGACCATTTGGATACTCGGGCACTGCCCGTGGGCCCGGGGGTCAGTAGGGGGCCCCATGAGATGCCCCTGGTACCTTTTTCATATGCTTTTTTGAGTTTTGGTAAGGACACAGGGGCCCCATGATCCCCTATTGCCCGGGGGCCCCATGAGTTGTCAGTCCGCCCCTGTGTGTGTGCACTCAGATTGTGTGTACTGCCTGCATTTTAACATTGTGCATACAATGTTATGCGCCTGCGCCTGCGCCTTTATATGTGCTTCATGTGTTTTCAGTTGTTCATGCCTTGTGTGATGCATGGGCTCTCAGATTGCGTGTGTGTGTTCTGTGTGCTGTGTGTCCTCATATTGTTCATACCCTGCTGTGCCACATATATTATGGGACTGTGAATGCTGTGTGTCATGTACTGTCAGTATCTATGCTCTGTGTGTTCTCTATATGTGAGTTCTGCAGCTGCATGTGCTCTGACAGTGACACTGTCACAGTGTGTGTTCTGACTGCAAATGCTCTTTCTGTGTGTGCAATCTGGCTGTGTTGCTGCATCAGCCCCTTCTGCACGTGTTGTTGATGCACATGCTCTGTCTGCAGGTTTGTCTTCCATTTGTGCGTTTTGCATGTAATTCCTGTCTGCATGTGCAGTGACAGTGCATGCTCTGAATGTGTGCTTTCTGTTTGCTCTGTGTGGGCTCTGGCCATGTTCATTGTGCATGCAATTACTCAATAATGTGTGTACACCAGCAAGGGAATCAGCATTACAATAAGGGTTCATGTACACTGCAGCTGATAAACGCACGTTTAGGAGCTGTTCAGCATTTTTTTCAGCAGCCCCTGAACGCACCCTAATGTTTTCCTATGTGTCCATGTACACATCATCGTTTACAGTCGTTTACAGGCAGTTGAGTTTACAGTCTTTTTTTGAACGCAACAAACTTGCGTTCAGACGTTGATTTTATCAGCGTTTCAAACGCAAAATGCTTGTAAACACTTTTAAATGCGTCTAAACGTGGCAAATTGCATTTGTGTTTGAATTTTTTTTTTAACTCTTCCAGTTCCCAATGCTGTCCAGAGCCTTTTTTCATCATAAGAAATGCATGCAAAGAGTTTACAAGGTGCTCATATGACAAAACACCGAACACAGAATGTTCCTACCAAGCTTGTCACACATTGTAATGACCAATTCACACCTCAGACCTCTCCCACCCTTGGAAATAAAAGATATGTTAATTCACACCTCAAATTCCTCCTCATGAAGACCCCCTGCCAGGTGACCTTAATGACTCCCTCCACCAGACACCTTTCCCACCCTTGGAAACAAAAATGTTAATGCGCAACTCACACCTAATTATCTCAACACATACTGCTGTGTCTGCTTCTACTGTGCGTATTTCTCTGAAATAGTCTGAAATAGGTAATAATTTACCACTTTTCAGTGCATTCTGGGCATTTGGGAGGTTCTCCTGTGCTTATCTTTAAAAACGCTTCTAAACGCAAATGCGCATAAACGTGTTATGCAAACGCGGCTAAACAGACATTTTTTAACCTATGTTTTCCAGAAGTCAGTTTCCATCGTTAAGAAACGTCCCATGTTCATGGGGCCTAAGGATAGAGAGAAGCAGCCACAAAAGGAATAATAGCAAGGATTTACAAAGAGTAATGCAAGCATAATGCTTGCACCACTCTGCTAAGAAGCAGACACAGAAGGGGATAATGGCAAGAATTTACAAAGAGTAATGCATGCATAATTGCAACCACTCAGCTAAACTTAAAAAAATGGAGGCTGTATGCATCCCCTTATTAACAAAAGGGGTGTAAGCCCCTTTGTTTAACCATAAAAGTACTTTTGCGCTGAATGAACCCCATGATGCTGCACACTGATGGTTGGAATACACACCCATAAAGCAAAATCCATATACACACGGGTGCAATTCCTTTAAATGTCATATAAATAAATAACTGTGAATAGTGATGTAGTGTGAGTTTTGAACAGTTATTGATTTACAGGCTACTTTGTAGTAGTTTTGAGATATCAATTACGTTATTGTATAGGTAGTCATAAATATATATATATATATATATATATATATATATATATATATATATATATGATATGGGCTAGTGTATACTGAAACATATGGCCTCATGTATGCTGAGACATATGGTCTCATTATCCTGTGGGAAGTTGGGAATCTTTGACTTTTTCATTCTGTCATTCTGTGGTGTGGCTCAAACCAGTTTTGACTATTCTTTTGAATCACTATATAAATGCTTGTAATACAAAGAGTTAGGCAGGCTATAGACGGGGAGAAAACCGGACGTTTTTTTTCTTTTAAAAACGAAAAATCGGTCGTTCAGTCGGCCGACGTTACCACCATTGTTAAAAAAAAATCGGCTGATTTGCAGAGAGCTCCGCTATTATATTTGACATTTAAAAGTATAGCAAAGTTGCAACATTGTATCTATTTGTATCCATTTCGGATACAGATGTTTCTATTTGGATACAAATAGATACAATGTTGCAACCGCTATACTTTTAAATGTCAAATATAATAACGGAGCTCTCTGCAGGGACACCGCTATTATATTTGACATTTAAAAGTATAGCGGTTGCAACATTGTACTGTATCTATTTGTATCCGAATAGAAACATCTGTATCCGAAATGGATACAAATAGATACAGATGTTTTTCTTCTTTTTCTTTGTCTTCATCTTCTTCTTTTTCTTCTTTTCTTGCAGGTCACGGCTCATGCGCATTTTTATCATCGGTCATGTTGGAAAAAAAAAACGGCCGATTTTGTCCATCGGCTGATTTTCACTGCAATGATAGGAAAATCAGCCGATTTGCCTATCATTGCAGTGAAAATCAGCCGATGGACAAAATCGGCCATTTTTTTTTCAACATGACCGATTAAAAAAATGTGTCAAAATCACGAAAAAACGGCCGACCAATTCACCCACTAACGATCCGAAAATCGGCCGATTATTCTTTCGGACAAATTTTCGGCCGATTTGCGACCCATCTATGGACTGCTTTAGTCAGGGTTTTGATTCATATTGAAGTATAGATCAAGGGCTGTCAATTCCAGGAACTTTGACAGAAGAAGTTGCTAAACCTTCCCTGGTCTGGAATGATGCTGTATTTATCTATTTTTATCATCTATAATACCTCTTTAAACCAAGTTAAGTAAATTATTTTATTGTTATACTTTCGCGTTTGTCTGAAAATATTGTACCATATCAGCATATCTGAAAGATTAAACATAGGAACTTTTAAGTAATAAGGCTAACCTCTTATTACAAGTGAACACAATACACTGATTGTTAATGAACTTTAAAAAGAAATATACAGTAGTAGAGAGAGGATAGAGAGAGAGTCAGCAGACAGTTCACTTCCGGTACACCATGTCAGATCTGGCAGGGATCTACAGCAATTTTCTGCTGCAATATCTTTGTTGAATAGATGCGGAACCACATCAGTTTATCTGGCAATCTAAAATAGAAGCTGGGGCAGGAGGCACAGAAAACCCAAAAATGTCTATCTGCTTATTTAAAGTGGCAGTATCCAAACAGAATCATGCACCAGTTTTCTGTCACAAGCATTCCCTGTTATGTAATATTGTAAAAGAGAGCATAAAGGTGGGAAAGGGGGTCTCATAAACCCAGAGGATGTAAAGCTGAATGACAATACAATGCTCCAGTGCTACTGCCAAAAAACAGGAGGTGCCCTTCTGTGAAGAGGACTGTCAAAATGTATTTGTTTGTTTAATAGAAGTACTTATATAGTGCCCACAATGTATGTAGCACTTTACATATATATTGTACATTCACATAATTCCCTGCCCTCAAGGGGTGTACAATCTAAGGGTCACTAAGGTCTCATGTACACTGTAGCTGAAAAACGCACGTTTAGGAGCTGTTCAGCATTTTTTTCATCAGCCCCTGAACTCCATGTCCATGTACACATCTTCGTTTACAGTCGTTTACAGGCAGTTGAGTTTACAGTCGGTTTTTGGACGCAAAAAACTTGCGTTCAGCAGTAGATGTTATCAGCGTTTCAACCGCAAAATGCTTGTAAACGTGGCTAACCATGTTTATAGGCATTTGCATTTGAATTTTTTTTTTTTAACGCTTCTATATCCTGATGCTGTCCAGAGCCTTTTTTTTTATTATGGAAAATGCATGCAAAGAGTTTTCCTGGTACTCATATGGACCTGGTACACCACACTTTGAGGTTTTGCATGATAGAAAATATGTTAGACACTGCTGCAATAATTCCTTCACAGAAATGAGCTGGAACACATCCAAACACCACAAAAAAAAAAAGACAGCTAATCTCAACAAACACTGTTCTCTCTGCTTCTGCTTTCTCTATTTCTTTCAAAATATCTGAAATAGTTAAGTATTTACTGTTTTTCAGTGCATTCTGGGCATTTTGGAAGGTCTCCTGAAGTTATCGTTAAAAAACTCTTCTAAACGCAAACGCTAATAAAGGCACATAAACGCGGTATGCAAATGTGGCTAAACAGACATTTTTTAACCTATGTTTTTCAGCAGTCAGTTTCCTTCATTCAGAATTGTCCCGTGTACGTGGGACCTAACTCATTCATACATACGCATACTAGGGCCAATTTAGACAGGAGCTGAATAACTTACCAGCATGTCTTTGGAGTGTGGGAGGAAACTGGAGTTCCTGCGGGAAACCAATGCAGGCGCAGGGAGAACATGCAAACTCCAGGCAGGTATAAATTTACTTGAACCACTTTTGTCTTCAACAAGCATAACCACACTATCTGCTTATGGTTAGGTACCGTTTTTGACAGCATATGCTTCTTTTTGTGGTTTACAGGTGGGTACACATTGAGGGGTTTTTTTTTTGAGTGGTTCAACTAGCAGGGTGACCAAAGAAAACACACAGATCCCTGGATTCATACAACCAATGTGAATGCAGGGGTTTCCCCTGG